ATGGTAGAGTAGTCGCAGGAGCAATAGATTAGAGATCTTCGGAAGCTGTCAGAACTGAAAAGCGAACGTGAAGACTGGACGGCATGCATGCTTCCCGCCAATATTGTGCGTGGGCTTAATCTCCAACCCGCGCTATCTGGACCGGTCGTTCACGCTAAAAGTCGTGGCTGCATATCGCCAGCAATTTGTAGCTCACGCCGTCTGTTATAGCGTGCTATACCCCTGTCAAGCTCGAAAATAGTCACCCACCCCCAAAAATACATAATCAACCCCTCCGGGACACACCGGCTACATGCAGACCGCAATTCCTCCTTCTCCTCCATTCAGCCCTCCCGGAGGATCTCCCGGTTGATCCATCCACAACCCAAGATGGCCACAACAAGCAAAAAGTCAGATCGACGAGTTCCACCCGAGCAACGGAAACGCACGGAGCACAGCTGTGACCGTTGCAAAACAAGAAAGCAGAAATGCAATCGGATTCCGGGTGAAGAGCGCTGTGAGCATTGCATACGCATGAACTATGGCTGCAAGGTCACCAGGCCCCGAAAGCAACGGCTCTATGGCAGCGCAGAGCTCGTGCGTTACAAGATTGCACTGCTTGAGGCGCTGGTGAAGGGGCTCTATCCTAGTGCAGACCTCAATTCTATTGAGAGCATGCGAGAACTTGGAGAGTCCTTAGGCATTAAGCTCCCGGAAGAGGTGGATAACTCGTATCCACCCCTGCTCGAGATGATCCAAGCAAGTGAAGAAGCAAACCATGACAAGAACGAAGAGCTGGTTCGTGACATGGAGGGCCAGGAGCAGTACATCGGGCCTGCGAGCTCTTATTTCTTCCAGATGAAGCTCCGTGCCCTCCTGGGGCTTCATCGCCAGGCCCAGGGAGGAAAGTTCCAGATGTACCTCTTTGGCCGCAACCCTTCCGAGGACACCTTGAGATATGCTAGAGAGATCCTTACGGAAACCGATATTCGAGCAGTAGCAGAACCACAACAAGTCGAGGTCAGCGCTAATGCCGTCCATTATCCTTCCCCTTTGCTTGATCGCTCCGTCATTAATGGGCTCATTCGAGCTTACTTCGATAACGTCAACATCGACTTCCCAGTCCTCCACGAAGCCTCTTTCTTGGAAATATACGATGTGTGGCGACTTTCCCCGCAATCCGTTGATCGAGCGTGGGTGTGTGAACTGTTGTGCGTATTGCTTCTGGGTCGGCGAATTGGTCCGCTGGGGACAACGGAGACCCAGCAGACGAAATGGTGGACCCACGTGGAATCCCTTCTACCCACAATTATTTTCACCAACAATATCCTTTCCGTCCAAGCTTTGATGCTGGCCGCTTTGCATCTTCATAACACGAATCATCGTGATGCCTGCTGGACCTTGACCGGGGCAGCGGCCCGCATTGCAATCGCCATTGGACTCCATCGGGACGAGATCATTTGTGAGGGACCTAGACTGGCTAAGGAGCTCAGGAAGTCACTATGGTGGACATTGTATTCTTTCGAGCAGATCCAGGTCTCTTCCCATGACCGGCCCAGTGCCATTGATAGCACCATGTGTTCTACTACCTCGCCCCATGAGAGAGTCCTTGGTATGGGATCCTCCAACTGGCCCCCGACCTACACGCTCTGGTCTGCACGGCTTGTTACTATCTTAGGCTTAGTATGTCGTGCCTTGCCAACTGCCACGAGCGAGAATGGTCGCACAGGTCTCCTCTCTCCGACGGCTGGGTTGCTCCGGGATTTGAGCCGGTGGCTTTATTCCCTACCCCAGCACCTAACACTCGGCGTATTGAGGACCTTGCCAGATGGCTTCAAGAGACCTGTTCTCTTGTTGCACATCCAGTATCATTATACTGTGTCTTTGCTCACTCGCTGTGCCTTGCTGCAACTCCTTGCCTCTGTATCGCAGAACTCAGGAGAAGCTAACTCCAACGATGAAGAGGTCAAAGCGAATGCCAAGGTTTGTTGCGAGTCTGGTAGAAAGGCCTGCGAGCTACTGCTGCAGCTGGACGAACTCGGTAAATTCAACTCAGTGACCTGGTGGGACGTCTATTACGTGTACTCCTCGACCTTGGTCTTGACTTTGAGTATTCTGTGCGACCGAGCGCGGCCCGACAGCGACAAGACTGTCACTGATAAGGACATTTCGTTGCTCCACGACTGTGCGAGTATGCTCATGCGCCATTCGTCCAACCCAATGATGCCTGCTACCATGCTTCGCTGGACCGGCGCGATCCGGGACGTTGACGTGCTTCTTAATGAAAGGTCGGCCCCTGTTCAACCGCCACCAGTCCGCGATGATCCGGTCAACAACGAACCGGTCTCGGAAAATGCTCTGGTCCCTCTTGGTTCGTCGATGAGAGAGATCACCGCGCCATATTCTGGTATGGAAGTGGCACTAGGCCCTAGCACAGAGCTCGCCGTCTCTCAAATGGGTTTAATCAATATGCCCTTCCAAAATTATGGAGCGGGCATGGAACCCCTCACGGAGCAAAGCGTGGCTCAGATGGATCCGACTATGGTGTATGCTAATGGCGGCCACATGGACCAGATGATGTCGATGCCACTCTTGGGCGATGACAGTGCTATCTTCTCCTGGGATTCAATTGGATCCATGTTACTGGGGACAGAGGCATTCAACGGTCAATTGGACTGTAATATGGGATGATTGGGGTGGCGCGGGGCCCTATTCAGTGGTGTACTAGATGATACTCCTCTGGAAGGGCCCTAGAGATGGGGGGTGTGCGTAAGGTAGATTGTCGTGGAAGCAGAAGAAGCGCTTGCAAGTGAATGATACGTAACATTTGGCCTTCATCGAAGTCGCTAGACGCATATACCCAAAACAAAGCTAGCTTGCTCCCGAGCTATCAACCAGCGGCCACACGATCCCGACTAGCCATGCTTTTGGACGTCAGACTGTTGAGGGAATTTGATGACCGAAATGCCTAGGCGTCAGGCAGGAATAATTTTCTTCTTGTTTTTAGATTTCTGTTTTTCCTGTTTTGTGATTTTTATTTGTTTTCCCTGTTTTTGTTTTTCTGAACGATCACATGTCTTTTCAATAGCTTCGACACTAAGAATGGTACAATCAATGTTAGAAGTGGAGATTTCAGCGTTATAATCGATCATAATCGTGGCTGAGACATCTGTACCAGGGCTATAAACCACCGATGGGCAAGCTCAATATCGGCTTTCAAATCGTGATCCCAGATCCACAAAAAGCGCTGATTAAGATTTGCGACGATCTCGGCCAAGTCCGTGCCCAGCTGCGGATGCGTGAAAGTATAGAGCGTCCCCGCCTCTTGACTCGTGGTTACAACTGCTTGCGCCCGTGGCCGTCGAATACTGTCATAGACTTGGAATGCGTGTGTAATTTCGGAGCGGTTCTTGGCAAGACCCAGAACGTGAGACATGATAAGTGAATCCTCGAGACATTGTCCAGCGCCGGCGGCTTGATGAGGCGTAGTGCCGTGGGCCGAATCCCCCAGGAGACAAATCCGTCCATTGTAATAGGTGGGAGTATTAGGATGGTGCCATAGAGACCATTGTAACGGTTTGGCCCACTGGTAAGGCTCATTAGCTATTCTAGGCAAAGAGAATAATAAGGGCTAACACGCACGTCTAATAGTTTGAGAAGGTGCTGATCAACCTCCGCAAAATCGGCCACCATCTCCTCCTTAGTGACATCCTTGGTCCATTGCGGATGTGTCCAAGGTCCATCCATCATCTTGATGGCTACCACATTGAGCTCGGTGCCGCGTGAAATTGGAAATGTCATGATATTTTTTTTATGGCTGACAAACGCTTTCGCGTCTCCAGCATGCTCCCCGAGAAGCCGCTGGGCATCTGCCATTGGAACGATCGATCTGTAGACATACTTGCCACTAAAGACTGGTTGCACCTTTTCTGGGTATAGTTTCCCTAGGACGGCTTGCCTCGTCGGACCCTTCACGCCGTCACATCCAATGACCGCATCTGCCTCCGCAATACTGTCGTCTTCAAAAGTGATAATAATTTTGCTGTTCTCTCCCGTTTGATTGATATGCTTGACCCTTTTGTTGAACTGTACACGCTCTTGCGGAATTAAGCTGGTCATTATTTCTAGGAGATCACGGCGATGTGCGCTGGTTCGGGTGTAGAACTCCGCACCAAACGGAGTCGGCTGCCAGCCCCGTTTGGCGCCGAATCCTTCTTCGGCATAGAGCACCTCCATCGCTATATGCTCCTTGTTCGGCGTCAGATTTCCGGAAGATATTTGATTGTACAATTGTCGAAATCTTGTGTCTATCAATTCCATCGCATGAAGCGCATTTGGCCCCAGGCCGATCCCTGCACCCACTGTACTAAATTGCGCGGCCGACTCATACAACGTGTAAGAGACGCCCCGATTAGTGAGTCCAATGGCTAGAGCCAGTCCTCCTATACCTGCTCCGACGATAGCAACATGCATGGTATCCAATCCTGCTTGTCCTGACACGATCGCTGTTGGCTGCGCCATAGTGTATTGGCCAATAATGGCGTTCTCGTAGCAGCCTTATGCCAGGCTAATCAAGCGCGAAAGACAGGTGATTAAAGTGCGTAGCGTTTAGATTGTGTCGCGGAAGTATGTCCTGAGCCGATGCTTACCGCAAAAGAGCAGGGGGGCGCCCGGCTATTTTTCATCGACGCGAAAAGCTCTCATCGGATGCATGTAAGCCGCGCAGCAACGTTCAGACACTGAAATGTCGGTTGTTTGCAAGCCGCAACACCCCTGTCAGGCTCTCAGGCACACAAATTATCGGTTACCTGTATGCCGCAGCATCCAGGTCTTGGCGTGATAGACGTAGCCCTACACCAGGTAATGCTTGTTCGTAGGCGCAGGGATGCATGAGAACAGGGCCTTCGAGACAGCGATGTAGTATACTGTAGTAGTGATGGTTAAAGTAGCAGGTCCCCCAGGCCTCGAAGCCTGGAGGGGAGTTGAGTTGAGCACATTCAGACAGAATCAGACATATCAATATGGCTGCTTCGGGAACCAGCATCTCCATTGACAGCGGTAGCACCTTCACTGATATCTACGCATCGGTTCCTGGTAAATCTGAAGATATCACTTTGAAGTTGCCTTCCGCCGACCCGCAAAAGTACCATGACGCACCAACAGAGGGTATTCGTCGTGTACTCGAGATTGCTAGCGGGAGCCAGATACCACGCGGACGGCCACTTGACTTGAGTGAAGTGAAGAGTATCCGCATGGGTACGACGGTGGCGGCAAATGCTCTGTCAGAAGGAAAGGGCGAACGGTCTGCTTTGGTGATCACAAAGGGATTCCGTGATATTCTCTTGCTTGGTGACCAAGCACCGCTTGACCTCTTCGGCTTCACCGTTCCGAAGCCAATGGCGTTGTACGAGAAGGTTCTTGAGGTAGACGAGCGAGTAATCTTGGAACCCCCTCCAGACTATCCGGGAGGCAAAGTGGCCAATGTTGAACCGGGTACAAAATTTGACACAGGCATCTCGCAGCAAGTTATACGGATCGTGAGAGAACCGTATTGGGGTATCGTTGAAGAGCAGTTTGTCGAAATGCATGACCGTGGCATCCGAAGTGTAAGCATCTGCCTCATGCACAGTTCTGTCTATCCAAACCATGAGTTTAGACTGGCAGATCTGGCCAGGAAGGCTGGTCTCAATGTGACAGTCAGTTCCCTTCTGAATCCAAAGGTATGTCGAATTCCCTATTGTGTTCAGAGGTTGAGCCATACTTCTGTGATGGTAAGGCTGACAGTGGTAGATTGGATTGGTCTCACGCGCCGAATCGGCTACCTTGCACGCATACATAACACCGATCATACGAAAACATGTCGAGCATTTTAGAGACTTGTTTGTTGGTCAGCAAAGGGATTCCACTCTTCCCCCGTGCGAATTTATGCAGAATGATGGAACAATGGCTCATATACACGATATTGTGGGGAGCAAGGGTATTCTGTCCGGTTCGGTGGGTGGCCTGCTAGGATATGCTTCGACCTGTTATGATCGATCATCCGGCAAGCCGCTCATTGGCTTTGATATGGGCGGTACATCAACAAGTAAGCGGTTTGACTGAACAACCCTGATGGCCACTCCTTGCTGACCATGCACTAGAAATATCGCGGTTTGCGGGTGAATACGAACGTGTAACGACAACGCTGGCCGGTAATACCATCGAGTTGCCTCAGCTAAACATCAACACTATTGCGACTGGCGGGAACTCTCAATTATACTGGTCAAACGGGTCAGCGGAAGTAGGGCCAGACAGTGCCGGTGCACAACCTGGGCCAGCTTGTTATCGGAAAGGGGGACCCCTAACAGTCTCAGATGCGAACCTGCTCTTGGGCCGCTTGGTACCAGAGTGTTTCCCCAAGGTCTGTGGACCAAATGGGGACAATAGGCTTGATATTTCAGTGACCAGAAGGATGTTCAACGGCCTATGTTCAAATATTAACAATAGTGCTAATCCAGAGGCAACTAAGTTGACCCCAGAGCAAGTGGCACTCAAGTTCTTGCAGATTGCAGAAGAGAATATGTGTCGCGCTATTCGCAGGCAGACAGAAACACGAGGTTACGAGGCTAGTAGCCATGACCTCGTTGCATTTGGTGGTGCTGCAGGCCAGCATGCTTGCTTCATTGCATCCTCTTTGGGCATCAACCGGGTCATCCTGCATCATCGCAGCTCTATGCTATCCGCGTACGGCATGGCCTTCGGAAATCTGGTCTCGGAACTGGAAGAGCCGCTAGAATGCGTCTTTCGCAGAGATACCATTTCTCGAATCCGGGATATCGAGGGCTCATTACGAGTTAAGGCGGAATCCGAGCTTCGCGAACGGGGGATTGGGGATGCAGACGACATCGAGTTCAAGGTCGAGATTCTTATGCACTATGAAGGTTCCGATACCATCATCGCGATCTCGAAGCCGGAAAATGAGTTGGAGCTCACAACGAAGTTTGCAGACGTACACAAGAAGAAGTATGGCTTCATAGCAGCACGGCCGGTAGTTGCCTGCACCGTTCGATTGCGTGCAGTCGGGGTCAAGAAACCTCCCAGTGATCTATCTCCAGCCCAGCAACTTGCACGCCTAGGGGAGATCCGAGCTCCATCATGCGAGGCGAGGGTGATGAGTAAAGATGTCTATTTCGGGGAGCGCGGTTGGCAGCGCACTCCAGTATATCGCCTTGAAAGCTTAAGAACAGCCGACCGAATCGAAGGACCAGCCTTGATCGTCGACAACACCCAAACCATTCTCGTGACCCCGAAAGCGCAAGCAACAATTCTGAGGAGCCATGTGGTGATCGACATAGATTCGCCAACGGCACGTCTAGCCGCTCAAAAGATAGCGATTGACCCTCTCCAATTTGCAATATTCGATTATCGATTTTCATCCATGATGAAGAAGATGAGACGAATGCTGCGGAGGACAGACATGAGCGATGAGATGAAGAAACACTTGAAGTTATCGTGCGGCATCTTCTCTGCAAATAGCAGATTGATCGCCTGCGGTAGGAAGGCCTTGTTGAAGACGACCTATAGGTACAATCGCTGACCTCATCATACTACTTAGCCCCCTTCGGTCCATCGCACATCAGCACCTTGAAATGTGCCGTGCAGTCCAACCGCGGAAATTGGAAGCACAAGCTACAAGACGGAGATATTCTTGTGTTCAGGCAACCCAGTAAGTCGGATTCGAAGGGTTTCCGACAACTTGTGTGACATGGCCTAACCAAGATCCAGGATTGTGCGGGAGCACTCCTCCTCTCGATATTACTGTGGTCACCCCTGTATTCCATGGCGGCGTCATCGCATTCTACTGCGCGTCCAGTGGTATATATACCAGTTCATCAGAGTTGATATCGAAGGAGCCCTGGCAAGAGCACGGAGAGATTATACCAGCTGAATTAGTGCAGGACGGCGCCATCAACGAAGAGAGTATCGAGAAGTATGTCCTGTCAGAGCGCAATCAACATTGCGACTGCAGTGATTCGAGCTATAAGGCCGACAATCTTGACAACCTTCGTGTCTTGGTTGACGCGAACCAGCAAGGACGGGAAGCTTTAACGAAGCTCTTGAAGGGTCAAGAAATTAATGTAGTATCGGTGAGCGGCAAAGATCCCTTATCAGCGGTTGGCTGAATCCGACTAATCAATGGGTAGGCGTATGTCAAGGCTTTGGAAAGAAGGCCCGAGACCGCGGTTCGTCAGCTGTTAAGAATTGTTCACGACAAACGTGGCGGTAGGCCGTTAGTCGCGACCGATTTGATGAGTGATGGTAGTCCCATGTGTCTGAAAATCACGGTTGATTATGACAAGGGAGAAGCCGACTTTGATTTCACTGGCACTGGTATGCTCCAAGCTTCCCACTTATGTGCTACGATACTTTCGGCTAATTATACCGTGAAGCCAGGACTAATTTTCCTGCACACGTGGCTCAAGCTGCCATAATGTACTTGTTGCATCATTGGATCCAGGGAGATCTCCGGTTCAGCCAGGGTTTACTCAACCCAATTAACATCATTCTTCCATCACAAGCTGGAACAACGCCAATGCCTCAGTCTGGTGACGCCATGAGGCAAAGACGGGTCGCCTCGCATCACGTTCTCGAGTTGATGTCGCAGTGCTTTGACCTCTATTCCAGTGGACGTCTTCATAACCTGATGTTCAGCGTTAGGGGCTGCATTGCTCCCGATGGGACGTACATACCAGGCTTCATGCATCAAGAAACAATTGTTGGGGGGGCCTGCGCTGGTCCTGACTGGCACGGGCAAAGCGCTATGGAAGTAGGCACAACGAAGACACGAATCATTGATGCCGAGCTATTGGAAAGACAGTACCCTTGCCTAGTCTGGGAGTTCAGTGTCCGGCATGGCAGTGGTGGACGGGGTCAGTTTTATGGTGGCGATGGGTGCAACAGAGTGATCGAGTTCTTAAGGCCCGTCAGCCTGACGGTCATGTCAGAGTGTCAACCCCCAAGCTCGGATGGTTTCCACGGGGGCTGTCACGGCGAGGCTGGCGTCAATCTGTTGATCAGGAAGGCCACTTCCGACTTGGAACCAAACCGGGTTGTCGACCTTGGCCCGAGAAGTACAACCAACGCACGCAAAGGTGACACTCTGATCATCCAGACATCTGGGGGTAGTGGGTGGGGGGAACCAACTGCCAGCGATGCGAGTGTGTACAGAAGGCGGAGTCAATACGTTCTCTCTCCCAGGCCCTCTACCGCCTTGGTGACCGCAAACTCTCGCCAGCGAAACTTCGAGTACACTTATTGCGATTGCAGGTCGACTTTGGTACGCAGATATACACAGTGAACATGGCAGACACGCAGGCAGGCTCCGTGCGGATAAGTCACATACTAATATACATGTACTAATACTATCAGAATGAATGTTGCTATTTTGAGGTTTACTAGGTCCTACGCCGAGCACCAACCTGGAAAGGGCTCGTCTCTTATATTTAAGGTAGTATAGAACTTTGTCGAATCACTGCCTCTTCTAGAAGGGTGGTCATGTAGAGCATTGTAGTATATGACTTAGCTTTGTCTCGTCTACTCATTTGGGATCTCGTAGACATTGAGTTCTGCCGGCAGAACGATGGACTCCGCACATCAACGTGTGGGATGCCTGCGTGGGGGTAATGTTGATAGGGTATCTGAGTAGTGAGTACAGAGTAGATAAGGAATGTTGCTTGACTTTGCTTTGGCTTAGCACAACATGAAGAATATCACATTTATTCCTTCCCAGTCAAAAAGATGACAACCGTAGTAGATCTGGAATGAAGGAAAACACTAGATATAAGGCCCACTTATGGCTGGACCAGAGCCCACCGTTGATCAACAAACGCCGATCAACGCTAATCCTAAATCGGAAACCAACTCAACGAACTCAACTTTATTGCCGCCTCAACCCCCGCCTTTTTTGTCCTCCACACTGTTAAAGCAGCGTCACCACCAGCATTTAACTAGCATTTGATATCAAACAGTGTGTCCACCACGATGGACCATCCATCCCTCCCATCCGAAGCTGATACAACATTACACTCTACAGCTTCGACTCTCCTTCATCCCTCACTTACTTCTGTCGCTGAAGATGCGTCGACCCTAGCTGCCCACCAGGACCCGCACCTAGTTCCAACCCATCGACAAGGCCAAGTTAGCATTGACGATGACTCGCTCCACGGTCTACAATGTGCCGTTGAAGAGCTCGACTACACTCGACAAGCTCATCAGTCTCATCATCAATACCATCATCAACAACCCTATCTTCAATCTCTCGTAAAACGACCCGACCAACATGTCGACATCCGCACCATTCTTGATCCTCCGAACCTTGATGCATGGCGAGAACGGCTCTTTAATGTCGATGAGTTGATCACTCTAAGTGAGGAGCAGTGCGTTTCTCCACCATTTCCTGCAGATACAACGCCCTTATTGACAAGTCCCAGATTCCTTACATACTTCCCACACATCGACAACGTCTATTCCCACCGGTCAACTCAACATTACAAACGTAAACCGCTGATTTCCCACTACTGGGACTGTCGCCTGAAAGGTCGACCTCCAGGGACACCGAAATCCAATGATCCCAACAAAAAGAAACGTAAGCGTACTGCCCGCCAGCGGGATCTCTGTGATGTAAAGATCAAGATCACAGAGTACTTCCCGGGCCACGATGTTATGGGGTCAGATCTAGGTGTCCTTGATGGACTTGGGGTCCCCGGCCCAGTACTCCAGGAGTCTGCTGTCAGAGAGGAAGAACAGGCTCAAGGCCAGCAGTTTGGGTTATTAACGCCGAGCCTGAACCCACCTCTACCAGAGGGTCATCCAGGGGTCAACGGCCAGAGATATTTTACTATCCAGCGAGTAAATGGGAATGGTGCGAACGGGAAGAACGATGGTGTGAGTGGGGGTCATCGTCATACGCTGGAGGATAGTGACCGCGTGAAGAAGAATAGTGTGCAGCGGTTCTTATTGCAGGAGGTGAAGAAGGAGAAGAGGTCACTAAATGTAAGTTCGTTTCTATATTCTTGTTGATTGATCCTGGCACAAGCGTGTTACGTCATTCGGCGGAGAAGTGCCTATCGCCGACTACCTTCCCCGCTCGTGAACTGCAACTTCTCTTTCCATCCATTATGCTCCGAAGATTCATTCTTGTGTTGAAACCATTGCTGTTTGGCAATCTATCCAAGCGTGCTCCCTCTGCGATTAGGACTCGATTGATTGATCTCCCTTCTAATTACCACCGCGCACAGACTAGAGTAATGGCTACCCAAAATCAAATTCAGAAACAGTACCATACCAAAGCCACCGGCCTGGCTGCCCAGACGGTCGCGCACCGCTCACAAGACAATGAACTGAAATTGTATGGAAGTTGCTTTTGGTACGTTCACTCTAGTTTATATGCATATATACATCGCCAGCGCTGACCACTGCTAGCCCTTTCGTACAGCGCGTATGGGTTGCCCTTGAGATCAAGGGAATCCCCTACCAGTATATTGAAGTTGACCCCTATAAGAAGCCCCAGTCATTGCTGGACGTGAACCCCAGGGGACTTGTTCCAGCCTTGCGGCACGGGGATTGGGGCTCATACGAGAGCTCCGTGTTGCTGGAATACGTAAGACTCTAACCCTGCGCCACTGAACCAATATGATCCTAATACGGCTTTAGTTGGAGGACCTGAATGTTGGGATACCGTTGCTCCCACCCGGAGACGCCAAGCTGAGGGCGCATTGCCGACTATGGACAGATTTTGTATGCACCCGTGCTTATCATCCCTTTCACTTCTGACAATCACAGATCAACCGCCACATCGTCCCAAACTTCTACCGTGTTCTTCAAGAGCAAGACACACAAAAGCAAATAGCCAATGCACAGGAGCTCCGAGATGCATTCAACACGTTAGTCGGCGCCGCAGATGCGCAGGGCCCGTTCTTTCTGGGCGCTCAGATCTCGTTCGTTGATGTCCAGGTCGCCCCTTGGGTTATCCGCTTGCGCCGTGCCTTGAAGCCTTATCGTGGGTGGCCAGACCCGGAACCTGGCAGTCGCTGGGGAGCCTGGGTCGACGCTATTGAGAACAATGAGCATATCCAGGCAACCACGAGCACCGATGAGCTCTATCTGGATAGTTATGAGCGATACGCTCGTAAGTGGATTGCTGATACAACGCGATCACAAGCTGACGTCTTTAGAAAACCGTCCAAACACGTCCCAGGTTGCCAATGCGATCAACTCCGGAAGGGGCCTTCCCTAGCTTGTTGCAGGTCACTGCTATACCATCTAGCATCTTAATACTATTCTGAGCAGCGACCCGGAGTCGCGTCCCACCAACACAGACAGGCGCGATGCGCCAATCCTTGGTGAAGGGATAGCTGTTTCGTTTTCGTAGTCTAGCCTCCACGGGCACCCCTGTGGCCCATTCTAAACCCGCCCCTTCCGCTGCTATCAGGGCCACGAGGACTGCGGATCGGCTGCCTCGGAGATTGAGAATCATCCTCCTTTCGGACATTGCCCTGCTTCTCCCTCCGCGGCCCAAAGCTCGAGTTCGGTTTAGGAGACCCCGGATCGTAGAGTTGCTTAGACTTTCCGGATGCAGCAGACGAGTCCCGCTTGTCACGGTTGTTGTCTCGCCCATTCCCACGGCTTCTCCCTTTGCCTCGGCCCTCGTGTTGTTTAGGCGGGGTAGCACTGCGTGGCGACGACGCGCCAGAAGTAGGGGCAGACGGGCTACCGAACAGCCTCTCCCGGACTTCTTCATATTTGCGTTGCTTCTCTTCCAGATTGCGCAGCGCAATAGCCTGTCGCTCCTCAGGTGTGGGCTGAGGCGGTCTATCCTCATCAGAGTCGTCATCCTCGTTCAACCCCAGTCTTCTCATACCGGCGCTGGCAGCGTCTACAGAAGATGATTGACGCGTAGCTATTTGTGGGTTGCGACTGAGAACAGTGACGGTGGGTTTGAATTCCTGCTTGAGCGGGACATTCGACCGCGCCTCTAGATAGTGAAACGTCTGAGGTGATTCTCTGTAGCGGGAAAACGGTCAGGCAACGTCCGCATAGTCATGAAAGTGATATACGTACGCCTCGGCCCATAGCTGGCGGTTGAATTCAGCCTGTTGGGCTCGGCGCTGGGCCTTGGTGACTTTCGAGGAGACTTTCTTCTCCTGTGGAGGCGGGGCGGATTCTGCAGCGAAAGTCTAGGGGAGCGATTAGCCAGAGAATTGAGGTAGTCGCACAGCGGCATTCAGGGGTAGTGGTGCACATACATCAGCCTGACTCTCCCAGTCCTCCTCCCAGGCGTCGGGGCCACTTGAGGGCTTTGCGCTCATGGCCAAGGGATGTATCGCTATAGCGCGTAAAACAGGTTCTGAACGAGTGAACGACGAGACCCAGAGTCAGTGGGGTCTAGCAAGTAAACCAAAAAGAACAAGTCCAATGTATTAGTCGGGTGGCTTAGTTTAAAGGAGGGAATGGCCGAGGGGTAAGTAAGACGAGGGGAAGAAAATCGTCTAGTTGGAGGAGGAGTTCAGAAAAGCGGAGGAAAATGGCGGTTGCCGCCTTGTGCTTAGTTAAGATCGCCGACCTCAACTTATCCCCGATCCTACATTTCCATCTCAACTGCACATCAACGAATTGTCTCGCTTTGTTGTTTTCTGTTGCAGCTATTGCTTGATTGATTAGCTTACATTACTTACTTGATAAAATCATATATCATGGCTACCGGTTTGTGCTCATACCAGCCCCTCCACACAGTTCCCCGCTGCCATCACATACAACCAACCTCCACCTGTCTCCCCACCACCCACACACCTCATTAACCATAACCAACCATCACAGACCCAGACGGCGACTCCCAAATGGCTTCCTCCCCGGAATCATCCCATGGCCTCTCCGAAGACTCTCACCCGGGTACCCGCACCCCAACCAACAAGCTCACCAACCCGCGTCCTCCTCCCTTCGGCGGCTCAGAACTCTCCCCGCCCGGCTCTCAAACACAAACCGCTACTCTGAACACCCAGGGACAGATGGCCTTCAACCAGAGCCTAATTGACTCTCCGCTCGCGACGCAGACAACTCTGCAGGTACAGCAACAGCAACAGCAGGCACAGCAAATGGATGCGCCGGGCGCGGCGTGGATGAATAAAAGGGCAGAGGAGGAGTATCAGCGCGCGATGGAGTACGTGGTTGATCATGATTTCAATCTGGGTATGTTGTTGATATTTGGACTTCCATGGCTGAGTTGGTATGGGTTGGGTTGGGATGTGCTAATTAGTGGATGGTATAGATGAGTTCGGAGATCCATTTGATGAGAGAGATGTCGAGGAGAAGTTGTTTTGAGGGTGATTCTTGCATTGTGTGGGTATAGCGGTGGTGTTTGGGGAGTTGGTGGCTTTGATTGTCTTTCTACTCTTGATTCTGTGATTTAGGGTTGAGGGTGTATGCATGAGTTATGAGCATGAGATATGAGTTTATTGCATCTGTTCTTACACAGGGGGGCTGGGTGCTGAGAGGGTCAGTAATGATAGAAACCGGCCAAGGATTCTTAAATAGTATTTGACGTTGTAGGAATAGCCAGGGACTTGACAGGCAGTCTTGCGTGGCTAGCAACACCTTGCAGTATTAATGTCTGTCTACCTCTCTCTATCCCATAGAACATGTCAACAAAGCAACATATCACACATCATATCCAACTACTACATACCCTTACCCGCAAACACAAACCCTTCCAACTCCCTATACGCCCCCGAAGCCGTACCTCGAGCGCCTCAAAGTTCGGTGGCTTAAATAAAAACACACCGAGCATCGATACTGGGATTTGCCTTCATCTGTTTCACACCGTTCATCTCGATATCTAGCACAATCAACCGTCCTTTCTCCTTTGATCCGAGATCGTTCTCTTGCTTGTGCCATACTAGTTCCCACCGAAGGTGGCATAGTCCACGAAGGCGTCCTGGGAAACGAGGTCCCCGAACATTGCCTTCTCTATAGAGAAGTAATTCTTGCCGTGGATTTTGCCGACCCGTGGTGCGCGGGTCGTGTGGGATACAGTGAATGCGAATGTGTCCGGATGTAAGTCGAATAGCTTCTTGACTAGTGTGTCTTCGCCGACGCCCGAGGGGTATATTACTATTGGGCGGGGGTCGGGGGGTGGTGCAGGGGGTTGTCTGTTAGTTGGGTGATGGATGGGGGGGTGGGTGGCAGTTGATTCTATGAGTGTTGGGGGTTGCTTATGTGTGAGGGCGGTTTAGTTTAGTATTCATTGGTGAATACTGCCATCACAAGGAGGGAGGGGGTCTAGATGTAAAGGGGTTGTGGCGGTCGAGCATCATGTTCGGCTAGTAGCATATATTCGTTCATTACATGGTGAATTTTTATCAGTATGGCTTGCTTAGCAGTCGTTATGGTTAGCTTGTGCGTTGTCTAGCAAGCGGAAAGCAATGGCTATAGTTGCGAAGCCTGCTACTAGATATTTCTGGTGAGATGAGTCGACCCTGTTTACGTCTACTGGTGTTGAATACCTCTTGATCATTAAATGATATGCTCGGGATATATCATCGAGAACCAGCACTGTACTATATGGAGTCGGAATGAGATGATGGATAATAGTATCTCATGTGAGAAATCGCATTGATAAATCTCAAAGACACAGATGAACATTATCCTAGAAACAAAATACCCTTCATGCAAACGTCCAGCTATATCCTAATAACAAAAATGCATTTCTATTCCAAAACCCAATACATACCAAACAAGCAACAAGTATAACCCTAACACCCCAACCATAAAACTCCATCAATGTCCCATCACACATAACCATAACCCGAGAAAGAGGACCAGACCATAAGCCCTACACCGGCGACGTATTACTCGCAATCTTGATTCCATTATCTCTAGCCATCCAATGCAAATCCCTTAGTCGTAACTGACGCATGTATATCCTCTGCTCTGGAGGGAAGTCGAGGTTCCTCTCCTCACCGTAGAACCCATTAGTCGCAAGGTAATGGATAGAGTAGCCGAAGACAGAGACTACCACGCATCCGAGGATGACGAAGAAGATAATGGCTTCTTTGGCGATGTAGACCATTTTGATTGATTTCTTGTGTGGGAGGGAGAGGTGGTAGTGCACGAGGCAGATTGTCGTGGGGACTGTGAGAGGTGAGGGTTAGAGATGGTTTTTAGGGTGAGTGGGTGGGAGACTCACTGTTCTGTAGCAGTATGTATAGTCGTAGTTTAATGAATACAAAAGTAATTCAGTTGTAGTATAACCCTCTCAGAGGTATAGAAGTAGTAGCGATATAGATAGAAAAGTATGAATGTAACGAGCGACTGCACACTGAATCCAGACAGATGTATAGGTATAGAAAGAAGGACAATAGTTGAAGGACGAAAGAATAAAACTCTGCTTCTCTCCATCCATCCTACCTCTCCTGCTCACCTCTTTATACCCTCCCATCACCCAATTCCTCCAATTCTCACCGTGAAAACAGACCCTATCGAAAGATCTATTCTGAGGTATAGATATCGCACCATCTCAAAACGGGTATAGCGTATGGCCCCTATGATGTCATTAGCGAGTGGGCCAATCAGATGTTTATAATTTTCATACAGATTGGGTTTAGCGTGAGCATTATTATAACTCTGAAGGGTATATCAGAGCTGGAATGCCCCGTTGATAGGATGCGGACTTTGTTAGACGTATCTGATGTTCGGGATTTGGTTGGTGAGGAGGATTTGGGGTATGTACGCGTCCCTACTTTTATTGTGTTAAGTGCATGGCTCAGCGTTAAGCTAAGGCTACCTACCTATACTAGATGACTACTGATAAAGTCCTCTTTAGCTGCACAGCTGATAAATCAATCATATCAAAATTATCTTTGTTCATTTTGTGCAATGTCAGCACTATGCAGTTAATGCATACAGTAACATCTCCCCATCTCTAACCGCATCTTCAACCATCAAAATCACCATCAACACCACCTAAATAACACCATCCATAACAAACACACCACATCAAAACCCCTTACAACCCCTTCCCATGCTTCTTCTCCGCCTCCCTATTCTTGAAGGGAAACCCCGTGGTCCTCTTATCCGCCCCGGTCTTCCGACTAATCTTCCCATTACTGCTGGCAAAAAGCGCACACCAGATACCTAACGAAGCCAGTGCCCCCGACACCACCATCCCGACCCCAAACGCCAATTGGCCCTTATCCGCGAACCAGGCGTACGCATACCCGGCCGAAATAAAGTGGAAGATGGTGGTCACTTGCATCGTCGGCACCGCGTAGGGCGCCTTGGGATCAGAGTCATCGGTTGTGACGGGGTCGGTGATGGACGCCGTGAGGGGGATGGAGCCGGTCAGCATGACAGTTAGGATGGCGATTGTGAGGAGGCTCATGCCCAGGCAGCGAGAGAGGTAGGTTTCAATTGCTGTGATGATGTTAGTTTGGGTTACTGGGAGTGGTGATAGGTGAAGGGGAGGGGAGGTACAGGATGGCTGTCTGCTTTCTTGTTCCAGCATTGTGGTCATCATTTCGGGCACGGCGATTAGAGCGACGCTCTGGAGGGAGAGCCAGCCCGCTGTTGAGTAGGTGTAGGCGTAGAATACCTGTTGCTCATGGTTAATTTGTGAAGAGATTTGGTGGGGGGGTAGGGGATTGGTTTAGCTTACGTCCATGGTTGTAGATCTGATATGTTTCTGATTGTGGTTCGTGATGGATTGTAGTATCAACGTTAAAATTGGAATTGAGTAAAGGAACCAACAATTGAAGTAGCTGAGAACTGCCGAGCGATACCTAACTTATAAGTAGAGCTCGTGAGGTCATTGCTAGCTCAAGCGCCCATGATGTCATTCATTCCCAGTTGGCAGATCTACGGCTGACTCATCCAGCGCAGCAATCCAGGCACCGTTGCTTTGTTATTCAATCCAGGTTTGATTGAATGCAGGGATTATTGCGATTTGGAATGGATTGAAAGTGTTGGCTGTGTGATGGTGTTCTGACTGACTGGTCTCGTGAACGATGTTGGTGTCCCGTTCCGCAACGGGAGAGCCAAGATCTTAAGGCTACTTAATCTGCGATGATATGCAGTTCCACGTCATTAAACTGTCTTTGAGCCTATTGGCCTGGGAATGGAATTTATATTAGCTAGATGGATTTGATATGATTATCAGTCACACCTAACTATGGACTTTGCCATCTACGAACTCCACTGAGAACTGGTCAGTCGAAGAGTATGCTTTTGAATTAAATTCTAATCATTTATTCATGATGATAAGCCAATATCAACGCCTTCGTACACCGATATATGTAGAGTCAAAATGCATGTCCCGCGAGATCATTTCCTTCCTAGTTAATGTTGCTCTTGCGCAGGTATCTGGCGAAACTGTGATCCGCATCCGAAGGAGCGCTCTGATCTGCCAGCGCATCCTTGTACCGCTGTGAGAGTCCTTCATCGTTACCCGCTGGGGGAGCACCACCATATCCATCATCATCGGAATCGTCATCGTCGTCAAACCCTCCCTGACCAGCCGCATCTTCTGCCTCTTCTTCCGCTTCACTGACGGTCTCGGCTTCGTCCTTGCGCTGACGACTAGAGCTGGAGACGCTCATATCCTTCATTAGCTTGCCCAGCTCCAACTCCCGTTGGGCGGCCTTGGTCTCCTCGCGCTCCTTCTTCTTGCGCTCCAGCTCAGGCTTGTAGTCACGCTCGAACTCCTGGCGCTTCTCTTCCACGGCAGCGAAAAACTCATCAATACCATCACCCGTCATGGAACTCACACCAACGACGTTCAAGTGGCGATAGAACTCCTCAAGCATCAAGCTCATGCTGTTCAGTAGCGATCCCATGTATCCACTTCCAGCGCCGAAGCCACCGGCTCCACCCTCTGCACCAAACGCACCCGACTCCTCTTCTTCCCGCAGCGCCTGCTGGAACGCATCGAAGTCGGACATCCATTCCTTGGCAAACTCGGCATCCTGCACGTCGGTCTTGTTGAAGACAAGGATCATCGGCAGCTTGGTCTTGTACAAGATACTGCAGGCGTAGAGCATGTTGCTCATGAATGTGCTGGTGGAGCTAGTGCGGGGGGTATCAATGACATAGGCGATGACGGTGGGGAAGGAAGATGCCAGGGTCTCGAGGAGAATGCTTCCAGATGCGCTCCATACGAACACCTCAATCTGTCCGGGGGTGTCGACGAGGATGTGCTCAATGGGCTTGGCGGAGGGGTTGCTCGGATTCGGGGCGGTGCGCTTCTCCAACAGGGCGATGATCTGGTCGACCTTCGTAGCGAACAAGTTGAGGGAGGTGAGAATGCCGCCGTTGGGGCCGAGGTTGTACTGCTTCATGACTTCTCTGTAGTTGATGGAGTCGCGGATGTCAATGTTGCTCTCGAAGGGAACGGAGTAGACGGCGGGGTCCAGGTTCAGCACGTAGGGAACCTTCTTCTTCGAGTGGAGATGCGAGTTGATTCTCTGCATGAAAGTCGTCTTTCCGGAGCCTAGGTAAGAGAGCTCGTCAGAAGATGAAATTGAGATGGGAGAGCAGTATCGGCATACCTGCCATGCCGACGCAGACGACGGCCACCGGTGATTGCGCCATGATGAAAGATTTGTAACGGCAAAGCTATCAAGCTCAACAGTGGTTTATGTGAAGCTCGACAAGCTAAAAGCTTCAGACAAGTCCGGATAGGGTGGTGTTGACGGCGAACAAGTGAAGCGGGGAGCCGAAGAAAAAGGAAAATGTTGCGTCGCGGGGATGGAGAGATCGGCTCCGGTGGAGTCTGGACCGCCCAGACGTCATTCCGTCCGCAGCCTTTTCTTCGCTTCTTCCTCATTTCTCTTTCCTCAGCAGCTCAACCACCACAATGACACTCGAGGATTTCGAAAAATCGCTAGCGGAGGAGCAGGAACACAGACGCGAGAAGAGCGACAGGAGTCGGCATCGCCATCACCGCGACCGCGACCGTGACCGTGACCGTGACCGTGACCGTGACCGTGACCGTGACCGTGACCGTGACCGTGACCGTGACCGCAGCCGAGAGCGCAGACACCACCACCACCGTCGTCACCGCTCGTCCAGGTCGAGAGAGCGCGACCATGAGAGACGCCGGGATTCGCGGCGTAGCGAGGACGACGGGCATCGCCATAAGCGATCGCGCCACTCGACTGACCATGGAGATGATCGTGAGCATGAACACAAGCGCCGACACCGCGACAGCAGAGATGAAACGGACGCGCCTGCCCCGGTGGAGGAAGTCGTACAGGAAGAGCCTACGCGCATGAAGAGAGATGCCTGGATGCAGCCGGATGGACTTGATGTCGACTACGTTCAGAGACGCAATACGACGCGTTTGGAAGAGGAACCAAAGCCGAAGATGCTGCAGGCGGACTTTGAGCTGAAAATCCACGGCAAGGAGCTCAACACCCATTTACACGATTTGAAGGAGGGCAAAGTGCTGGAGGAGATTGAAGAACAACCAGCGCAGCACGAGGTGGACTATACGTTTGGTGATGAGGGTGCTCAGTGGAGAATGACTAGGCTCAAGGCTGTTTATCGGGAGGCAGAAGAGACTGGCAAATCGGTCGAGGAGGTCGCCATGAACCGGTTTGGAGACCTACGATCGTTTGATGATGCACGGGAGGAAGAAGCAGAATTGGACCGCCGCGAACGGTACGGTGAAGGTTACGTGGGCAAGGAGAAGCCTACGGGTGAACTCTTCCAGGAGAGAAAGCTGGAAGAGGATGTCTACCGCGATCCCCTCGAAAATCTCCGCAGTCCCGGCAAGGAACTCGATGCTCAGGGCCAGGGCAAACCAATGGAAACTGTGCCACCGCCAAACACGACACAACATCTGGATCTGACGGCTCTCAACCGATTGAAGGCTCAAATGATGAAAGCCAAGCTCAAGCGCGCCCCAGATGCAGCCGAGCTCGAGGAGCGCTATAATGCAGCCGCAGCTGCCATGTCAAACCGGAAAGAATCCGATGTGGTGGTTCTGGGCGTCATGGAGAACCGGATGCTGGCTGGCACTCGGAACGAAGTGAAAGCGGTTGATAACCGGCGCGGCCGTGTACGCGGCAAGGTAGAGGATAACGACGAAATGACAATCGAGGACATGGTCCAGGAAGAGCGTCGCACCCGGGGGCAATTTGGAGGCGACGGTCGACGGATGGCGGAGCGAATTGCCAAAGACTCGAAATTTGAGGTGAGTACATTACCAAAATACTCACGAATACAATGCTAACGTAGACAGAATGACCTGGAATACATGGACGACAATGCCTCCAAGCTGGCCAAACGTGTGCACCGATCCGAGATCGACATCAAGAACATCACCATCAACGAG